TGTTTAAATTTTTATGTAGTAAAATGTCATACAGAGAAATCAAATTATAGCATGCCTTTACTATATATTCATCAGGAGTAAAATAAAGTAATTCACCTCCCCTCCAAGACTACACTGTAATAGCAATGAATGGAGCTGGTTGGAGTAAAACGCTAGAGTAGTAGGGATTCTAATTTGGAGCTTACATGCTCACTCTAAAGATATAGGATTTTGATTAAAGCAAAATAAGTCACTATGTGTGATAAATAATTTCTAATTTTGACACTCAGGGCCCAACAAGAAAATTAACCTTGATTATCTAAAAAGAAAGGACTTAGAGACTAGGCAATTGAAAATTTGAGAAGGGAAACAGGCACGTTCCTGGGAAATTGGTTTGATACTTGTGACTGAGAAAAAAAAATTCAGTTTATAGATGAGACTCATTAAACTGTAGCCCTTTACTGCTGGAAGAACTGAGTACGATGTCTGGTGAAATGGGCAACATATTTATTAATTTTTAATTCACAAGCAAGCAGAGGTTGAGGATTGGTGCTTCCTCTATTTTCCTGTGCCCCACAAATCTTGGGGTCTTTGTATAGCCTAATGTAAGAAAAGAGAGCCCTAAAGTCGCCGACCTTACACTTCTCATCAATCTTGGGAAAATAAAATGTTCAGCTGTATTAATGTAATTTAGCAAAATGAGGAAATATGACATGTATTACATTCCAAGTGACATGGAACCATTCGAACAGTTTTTTCAGTAAGACAAGACACTTTGATAGCATAGCAATCTCATCTGTAGCACTCATTTGACAGCTAAAGGTTCACAGAATAAGAGACGGAACCTAATCTGTCTCCCGCACCCCAAGAATTTGCTGAGAAGCCATCAGCTCAGTTTCTGCTTCGTTTCAGCATGAGGTGGTGCAACCTGTTTTCCACATTGCAAAGGTGAGTCAGCTGAGAATTATATAACAGTTTGACGTATGCCAAGAAAGTCACCAACAAGAGACATGTCTCACGGTTATACATGGGTGCCTGGTTGGATCTCAGTATAAATAAGCTTCCAAACAGCCTGCCTAAGCTCCATCTTCTTTTTTTTTTTTTTTTTTTTTTTTTTTGAGACAGAGCTCCTATCTACTGGTTTACTCCCCAAATGCCCTCAACAGCCAGCTGGGTTCTGGAAACTCAGTCCACGCTTCCCCTGTGAGTGGCAGAACCCCAACTGTTGGAAGCCATCAATCCTGCCTCCCAAGGGTCCACCCTCACAGAAAGCTGGAATCAGGAGTTGGGGACAGAACCCAACAACTTTTATGAGGGACATACATGGGTCTCTTAACCTCTAGGCCAAATACCTGCCTCCAAAAGCTCTATTTTTAGCCAAACAATCCATGAAACAGGATGAGATTATGGAATGACAAAATGGTCAAGAAACCTGAAATAGCTGAGCTGAAGCAGGTGCTCAGAGCCAGGTATACAGGTGCTGAGGTCTGAATGCTGCATCCTAAATTTCACGTGTCAAAACCTTATCACCAGGAAGATACCAAGGGATCACATAAACAAGAATAGTGTCTGCAAATACTAGCTGATAGAATAAAAAAGGGAGAGAACGATCCAACATGGGAAGTGAGATACACAGCAGACCCATAGAATAGCAGATGTCCTAAACAGCACTCTGGCCTCAGAATCAGCCCTTAAGGCATGCGGATCCGGCTGAAAAGCCCATGAGAGTATTTCAGGCATGGAAAGCCAAGACACTCTGGAAAAGAAAAAAAAAAAAAAAAAAAAACAACCCTAAATGAAAGATCTCCGTGAGTGAGATCCCAGTGGAAAGAACAGGTCATCAAAGAAGGAGGTACCTTTCTCTGAAGGGAGGAAAGAACTTCCACTTTGACCATGGCCTTGTCTAAATATGATCAGAGTCGGTGAACTCAGGGGCCTTCCATAGCCTTGGCAACTCATGACAAGAGCCTAGGGTGATTATTGATGCCATAAACAAGAGTGTCAATTTGTTAAGTCAACAACAGGAGTCACTGTGCACTTACTCCTCATGTAGGATCTCTGTCCTTAGTGTGCTGTACATTGAGATTTAATGCTATAACTAGTACTCCAACAGTATTTTTCACTTTATGTTTCTGTGTGGGAGCAAACTGTTGAAATCTTTACTTAATATATGCTAAACTGATCTTCTGTATATAAAGAGAATTGAAAATGAATCTTGATGTGAATGGAAGGGGGGAGGGAGAGGGAAAGGGGAGGGTTGCGGGTGGGAGGGACTTTATGGGGGGGAAGCCATTGTAATCCATAAGCTGTACTTTGGAAATTTATATTCATTAAATAAAAGTTAAAAAAAAAATTAAAAAAGAATCAGTGAAATATAAAACAAACATACAAACAAACAAACAAAAAACACCTTATCACCAGGAAGATAATATTGGGAGCTGGCTGGGGGGGAGCTGCTTTGGAAGATGATTAGATCATGAGGTAGGAGCCCTCATGACTGGGATTGGAGGGTTATAATAGAGGCCCCAGGGACTTGACTCACCCCTCCTGCCATGTGAGGACACAGTGAGAAAGTACAGTTGATGAATCATGAAATGGGTCCTCACCAGACTTCAGATCTGCTGGTGCCTTGATCTTAGACTTTTCAATCTCTGGAACTTGAGTAATGAATTTCTGCAGTTAATTAGCATGCTAGGTGAGCAACTGAGCAGTAACCACTCCACCTTCTGGAATATGTGTCTGTAAACTACACCCATGGGCCAAATCTGGCCTACCATCTACTCCTATAAATAAATTGTCATTGGAATACAACCACTCTCATTTGTTTATGTCCTTCCTATGACTGCTTTCGAACTTCAGCGGTAGCGTTGGGTAGTTATGACCAAGACCGCATGATGTACAAAGCTGAAAATATTTATATCTGACCCTTAACAGAAAACAAATTCTGTCCTTTGCTCTACCAAAAGACAGAGGAACTCAGAGACTTCCAATTCACTAAATTTACCTGGATTGTGAGCCAATTGAATATTATTCTCACCTCAAAGCTCAGTGCATCACAGTGATGTCTGGTCATCATGATAGCAATGTAAAAATTTGGCAGAAATTATAAATATACCTGACCTGATGGATCGTGAACATAGACTCCCCATCTGACAGTACATTTAAATCCATTTTTAGGTTTAGACTTTAATAATTGGTCCAAAGCAACTATTCTAGCTAAATTCCACACTGGCTGAACAGTCTGCTTATAGTTGTCTCATACAAGTTGCTTTCTGGCAATACCTGGCATTAATGTGTATAAATGAAGAAATTGGCTAGTTTGCTCTGCCAGTTCATGCCCTTTCCTTTCCTTGGAAATATCTTTCCAGTAGCAGTGGTCTAGTCTTTTCATACTCTCTTCCTATCAAAACCTGCTCTCAGGTAAAAACATCCAAAACTCACTAGAGTTAAATGTAAACAATATAGCAAAGCCCTAGATGCATCATCAAGTAGGGAGAGCAAATACCTTTTTCTTCCATTTTTGTTCTCTTTTTGAGGCAGGGTATAAAGACACTCCCTGCCAAGAATGGGATACTGGAATGGGCCCATAACAAGTTGAGGAGCTGAGTTAGTAGGTAAACACATTTCCTCAAATTAAAGCCTAAGTCTAAGTCCTTCACTGGTGAATTTTCTCAAATATTTATGGAAGTAATAATACAATCCTCATTCAAATTCATTCAGAAAGCAAAGGAGGTAAAAACACTTCCCAACTCATTTTATGAGCCTGGTGTTACTCATCACTTTTATTCAACACTGTACATCAACAAAAAAATCAACTGTATATCTAAGTACTAACAATAATCAGAAAATAAAATTAAGGAAATTATTTCATTCACAATAGCATCAATAAGGATAAAACTTTGTTAAGTTCATTCTTAACAAGGCTATTGTAAACAGTCATGAGAGTACTTTCTGGGTTGATGGAAACACTTTTAAAACTTGCTACATGGCTACATAATTTACAAAAGATGAGTGTCTCAGCAGTTAAGATGCTCTTTGTCATCCCCTATCAGAGTGCCTGTGTTCAAGTCCCACATCCACTGCCTATCCAATTTCCTGCTAATACACTCTATGGGAGACAACAGATGATGAGATGATGGCTCAAGTACTTGGGTCTGTGCTCCTGGCTTCAACCTGGCCCAGCTATTGAGGCCATTATGGGGGAATGAATCAGCAAATGAAATCTGTCTGTCTCTGGGTCTCTCTGTTACTCTATATTTCAAATAAAATGAAATTTTAAAATGAAAGTTTTATGTACTAAAACATGTTGCTGGGAAGCGAGATACACAGCAGACCCATAGAATGGCAGATGTCCTAAACAGCACTCTGGCCTCAGAATCAGCCCTTAAGGCATTCGGATCTGGCTGAAAAGCCCATGAGAGTATTTCAGGCATGGAAAGCCAAGACACTCTGGAAAAAAAAAAAAAAAAACTAAATGAAAGATCTCCGTGAGTGAGATCCCAGTGGAAAGAACAGGTCATCAAAGAAGGAGGTACCTTTCTCTGAAGGGAGGAGAGAACTTCCACTTAGACTACGACCTTGTCTAAATATGATCAGAGTCGGTGAACTCAGGGGCCTTCCATAGCCTTGGCAACTCATGACAAAAGCATAGGGTGATTACTGATGCCATAAACAAGAGTGTCAATTTGTTAAGTCAACAACAGGAGTCACTGTGCACTTACTCCTCATGTAGGATCTCTGTCCTTAGTGTGCTGTACATTGTGATTTAATGCTATAACTAGTACTCCAACAGTATTTTTCACTTTATGTTTCTGTGTGGGAGCAAACTGTTGAAATCTTTACTTAATATATGCTAAACTGATCTTCTGTATATAAAGAGAATTGAAAATGAATCTTGATGTGAATGGAAGGGGGGAGGGAGAGGGAAAGGGGAGGGTTGCGGGTGGGAGGGATATTATGGGGGGGAAGCCATTGTAATCCATAAGCTGTACTTTGGAAATTTATATTCATTAAATAAAAGTTAAAAAAATAAAAAATAAAACATGTTGCACAACTACAAAATTTTGCCAAGGATGCACCTAAAATGACAAATTTTATTGTAGGTTAATTATACCAAAAAAGTGTTAAAACTTAGAAGCAAATTCAGTAAGGTTGGGTTGAGGATACAAAATCAACATATAAAAATAAGTAGCATTTTTATACATGAATAAAAATAGTTAAGAAATCAATAAAGCAATTCCAATCACAATAATTATTTTAAAATACATAGGAATAAATTTAACCAAGGTAACGAATGATCATTGTAAAAGTCTAATGAGAGAAACCTGTGGGGACTCCCCAAAATAGAAAGACCTACCATGTTCATGGATAAAGAATTAATATTTTTAAATCTCCATACTATCCAAACCTACAGATTCCATGCAATTCCTTCTAAAGTGTCATTGGTAGAAATAGAAAGTAAAATACTCCTAAAGTATGTATGGAGCCACACACACACAAAAAATCCCAAACAGTGAGAGCAATTCTGAGCAAAAAGAATAAAGCTGTAGTCATTACAATATCTGATTTCAAAACATACCACAAAGCTATAGTAACAAAACCAGAAACACACTGGCATAAAAGCAGATAAATAGACTAATGGAACAGATAAAGAAACCAGAAATAAATCCATGTATTTCAACAAAGACAGCAATAACATTCATTCGAGAATGGTCAGTCTCTTAAATCAATGGTACTGAGAAAACTGGATATCCTTATTCAGAAGAACAAACTAGACCTCTATCTCTTACCACATACAAAAATTGACTGGATCAAAGGTTTATCTATAATATTTGAAACTACGGAATTACTAGAAGAAAACATAGGGGGAATACTTTAGGACATTAATCTAAGCAAAGATTTTTTTGGATATGATCCCAAAAACGCAGACAACAAAAGCAGAAACAGTATTACATCAAACTAAAAAGCTTTTGTACAGCAAAGGAAACAATCAACAAAGTGAAGAGATGATCAACAGGATGGGAGAAAATATTTGCAAATTATTCATCCAATAAAGGCTTAATATCCAGAGCATATAAGAAACTCAATCAATTCGGCAAGCAAAAACAATAAATATTCTGATTAAAAGTGGGCAAATGGCCTGACTATGCATTTAAAGGAAGATATACAAATGACAAGGTAATATATGACAAATGTTCGACATCACTAATCATCAGAGAAATGCAAATTAAAGCAACAATGGCTTTCACAAAAAGACTAAAACAACAACTTCTGACCAGGTCACAGAGAAAGGGAACTCTCACACACTCTTGGTGGGAATGTGATTGAATTGCACAGTCATTATGGAAAATAGTATGGAGTTTCCTCAAAAAGCTAGAAATAGAATTATATGGTCCAGCAATCCAAGTATTGGGTGTATATGGAATTAGTATCTTTTAAGATTTATTTATTTATTAGAAAGTCAGAATTACACAGAGAGAGAGAAGGAGAGACAGAGAGAGATAGAGAGGTCTTACATTTAAGTGGAGCAGCTGAGACTCAAACCAGTACCCATATGGGATGTCAGTACTGCAGGTGGCGTCTTAACCCACTAAACCATAGCACCGGTCCCATTCTGTACTTCTTTTCATACTTAACAATACATTTTCAAGGCAGTACTGGCTACATTATTTTCTGGTCCCAGTAAAAAATGACAACATGAGGTCCTTTTTTCAAAAATTGGTAAAAGCATAAAGATTGTAACAGAAAAGTAAAAATCGAAGCCTAAGAACTTTGAAGTGCAGGGCCTTCTGTGATTGTCCATGGTTTTTGTTTTTTGTTTTGTTTGTTTGTTTGTTTTGCCTCTTATCTCTTGTCACAGCTGTAGTTGCTTCTCCCTGGCTGGTTATTGAGTAATGAGAGAAATACGTCCACATGTCCACAATTTAGGGACATGTCATTTTTGTTGTCGTTGGTCTTGTCAAATTATTGGAGAAGAGGCAACAAGTACACCCACGTTTCTGCTGTTGTCTAGGAGAAAAAAACAAGAGTTTAGCTACATAAATATATGGGTAGACATGTTGGAGACCCGGATGATGCTCCTGGCTCTTGGTTCAGCCTGCCTCAGCCCTGGAAAATTGTGACTATCTGAGGATGGGAGATTCTCTGTCTCACTCTTTCTCTCTCACCCTCTGCCCCTCTCTGTGTAACTCTGACTTTCAAATAAATAAATCTTTAAAAAAATATGGATAGATACTAGAGCTTAGAAATCTTTAGTCTGAGTTACCTTGCATCTTATCGGTCACTTTATTTTTAGCAAGGTATTTAGGTCACTCATACTGGGGAGATCAACAAAAGGAGCACCAAACTCTTCCATTCGGCTAGGCCCTTCCCTACCAAAACCAAGGATTATTCCAACCATGGTTGTGCTATACTTTCCAGTAAAATTTATTAACCTGCTTTATCCAAAAAGCACGGAAAAATTGGATAACTAGATTCTTAGCATTTCCTAACTACTGAGTCTTTCCTCACTTTTGTAGGGGAAAACAGGAGCCATCTTGGGTTTTGCTGATGGCCTTGGGCAAGACCAGGAGGGATGATCTCCACCCAGCTCTTTGACCTGTTGATAGAAGATTTGTGGTGTTTTTTTTTTTTTTTTTTGATCCTCTTTATGTTTCTCAGCAAATGACCTATGACTTGGGGAATTAATTTGACACCTTGTTCACAAGCTGATTGAACAAGTAGTGACAACAGGGTTAGCTCTATAGCTTACAAAACATACCTTGTAGAGCAGGAGCGATGCAGAGTGCCTACAGAGCAGGAGGCACTGGCCAGGTAAAGAAAACTTGACTCAGAGCCTTCCCAAAGGTGACAGGCAAGAAAAAAGCAGCCAAGAGGGGCATTTCCTTTCAGAAGCACCAGGACACTTGTTGGCGAAGGGAGCGACGTTATCTAGGGCATGCATTTGACAGTCTGGCACAGGTGACGAAACTGACAAACACACACGAGAAACTAGCACATGATCTGTCAATTGGTTGTGATTGAATACTTCATGTCATCAAGGGAATAGAGGCAATGAAAGAAAAGCCTTCTTTCTCAGCAAAGAAAAAGAATTTCTGTCAGAAAGGGACGAGGAAATAAAAAAGAAAAACGTCTTCAGAGATCACCGTGCATTCTGTAAAGTACGTATTGTAAGAGAGAAAGGGAACGGCAGCTTGATTCTGACGCTCTATTCAGCGTAATTGTGTGGAAGCTGTATCTAAGGGGAGAGACTGAACCCTCATCAGCGAGCATCTTCCTCCAGATGGCTCTAAGTGGGCCTGAATCTGTTTTTCAAGACAGGATGGGGATGATTCCTTACTACGAGGAAAGGCATGGCCTGGGATTTGACCAAAGGCTTTTGGCAATCCGTATTTATAACGCGAAGAGCGCGCTCCGAGTAGATGGTAAGGGTTCCCCTTCCCCTTGCTCTGTCTGGCATTTGTTGGCTCTTGATTGTTGAGATGACAGCTTCTTGAGTAGCTAAAGGCAAGTCTACGGCTTTTTTCTTTTCCACAGGAGACCCTCAATAAATACTTGTTGGATCCATGAAAATAAAGAGAGCAGATCCGCATTGCCAACTGACACGGGAAGAAGGAACAGGCTGACTTGTCCCGGCTGCAGGAGCAGAGTGCCAGTCTTGTCTGCACAGAACAGGGTGATGGGGCAGGACCACAGACGTGTTCCTGTGGCACTTTGTGAGCAACTGCAGTCGTTTTCCTTGCAAACACAGCAGCAAGGTTTTATCTAAAACAACAGTGAGGTTATAACTGCTGGAGAGACAGAGAGGGAGGATTCCTGATCATTACACTTACTCGCTCGTTCCTTTGTTGTATTCATCAAAGTCTTGCCTGAGCATCTGTGAAATCTCAGTCACTGTGCTAACATTCGGAGATACATGGGTGAATACAACAGTTGACCCTGCCTACCACTCCAAGTGCCCAGTCTAGTGGGGATGATTCTGGTACAGCAGTGTTTGAGGAGAGCTATGATGACACTGTACGGGAAAGTATTTAATCCAGACATGGGGAGGTAGAAACTATTCTCAGAGAAAAGACAAAAGAGCACAGGCATGAAAAATCAATACAAGCCAGCCAGGCAAAAGCTGGGAAGCATATTCCAGTCGAAGGGAATAGCATTTGCCAAAGGCCAAGGGCAAGTTTGGAAAGAGGCTCACAAGGAATTGAAGAGATTTTGTGATGACTGAGTGGAGGATTGGCAATAGGAGGACAAGAGGGCAAAGAATTGGAAGGTTGGATAGGACAGCAAGAAATTTCTCTCCCACTTGATTCCTGCGTAGGGGTCTCCTTAGACTACTATTTGCTCCCAGAACTAGAAGGGTCAGCAGGAAGCTGTCTCTTCTCTTAAGGGGCTCCAGTCAGTAGGAATTCTCAGGGTCCAGGGTCTATGTTGAATCTCACAACAGATAACCCATGGGGTGTGGGGTGTCCTAACACTGAGCATTGACTCGCAAGTGCTGACTTGTGAAGGAAGCCTAAGCTCCTTGTCTCATGAGTGTGCTTTTGGTGGCAACGTGGGGATGTGCAGGTGTATTTGCTAAACACATCCCAAGAGAAACTTCCGAACTCCCTGGATCCTGCCAACATTAAGGAATGAAGATGATCTAAAGAAATTATCAAACAAAATAATCTTTTGGATTCTAGAAATATTACCAAAATGGAAATTTTATCATGGATATTGAAATGGCTGTGCTGAAATTAACACCAAAGGCCAAGCTGCTGATCATCATGCAGGAAAACTGGTGACTACATAATATTTTCTTTTTAGTATAATGTTGGTAGGGTGATAATAGGCTTTTTGATAAGGTCTTTTCTGGACTGTAATTGGGAGACCTCAGTTCAACCTTAATCAGAGCTATGACTCTTTTTTTAATCTGTGTGTCTTCTTGAGAAAGGTATTCAGATCTTCTGTCCAATTTTTCACTGGCTGGCTTGTTTCCTTGTTTTTTGAGTTGTAATAGTTTTTTGTATGTGTTATTTATTTTTTAAAATATGTATTTATTTATTTAAAGTCAAAGCAACAGAGAGAGAAGCAGGGGGAGGAGAAGGAGCAAGAGAGAGAAAGAGATCTTCCATCTGCTGGTTTACTTCCCAAATGTTCACAATAGCCAGATCTGGGCCAAGACAAAGCCAGGAACCAGAAACTCCATCTTGGTCTCCCATACATGGGTGGCAGAGACCCAAGCATTTGGACCATCTTCTGCTGTCTTCCCAAGTGCATTAGCAGGAAACTGGATGGAAAGTGGAGTGGTTGGGTCTCAAATCGACACTGAAATGAGTTGCTGACATCATCAAGTGGTGACTTCATTCATTGTGCCACAACAGCCAGCCCCAGACTTGTGATTTGTTGATTTTCAGAGCAAGTCTTCTTCGTATAAAGAGCTACACAGCCAATTACAACCAAACAAACAAACAGATTGCAGTAACAATTTTGAAAACCACTACTCTGGACTAGAAGTTCCCAGTCTCTGATGAGAAGATTCCTGGAGCTACCACACAAACATTTCAAACCTGTGTTTACCAAGCAGTGCCTCTGCGCCACACAAGTGTATGCAGACATGTGTACCATCTCTTAGGCATACCTGCAGATAGTTTAATGTCTCAATAAATAAAAATCACTTATTTAAGGATTACTAAATTGATGATGGGTGTTTTGTCATAGATTTTTTTAAAGATTTATTTATTTATTTTGCAGCTCAGAGGTACAGAGAGAGAGGGAGAGACAGACAGAGAGGTGTTCCATCCACTGGTTCACTCCCTGGATGGCCATGACAGACAGTGTTGGGCCAGGCCAAAGCCAGGAGCAGGAGGTTCCTGGGTGGCAGGGACCCGAACACTTGAGTCACCCTCCACTGCTTTTCCCAGGCCAATAGCAGGGAGCTGGATTGGAAGTAGAGCAGCCTGGATTCAAATCAGTGCCAGCATTGTAGGCTGCAGCTTTGTCTGCTATGCCACGATGCCAGCCCCTGTCGTAGATTTTTAAGCAACATATTCTAAAAGTACAATGCAAGATAGCACAAAACATTTTTACCTTAAAAACGAATCTTCATTTTGCACGGGCGGATGACTTCTCAGTTCTTTCTGCAAATTAAAGGGATATGCTCTTATTTTTTGTCTTAAGTTACAGATCACTTTTAAGCATTTAATATACAACATTGCAAATAAATAGTTGGGGGATGTAATTAAACCTAACAGATTTTTAGCTAGTCTATGCAATGTGCTTCAGTGCTATCTTCCACCTACACAAAGTTCCACAAAAATGGGGGGTGGGAGTGGGGAGACAATATGTCACCTACTCTGCTAAGAAATGCAAACTCTTCATCTGAGTTGCAGAAACTCGGCATGGCCAAACTTATCATATAATGCTATCACCTTTTCCCATTGCATGATGCTTTCATGCTGTTTTTAAAGATGCAATTATTCATGTGACTCATGGCACGATATCTCAAATTCTTTTTGGAAGTAGGTGTGGCATGAATAATAACAAACTAATTAACTTGCACTATTGTACAAGAAATATATTTCATTGTAAAACATGAGTTCTAAAAAACATATGGATTTTTTTTTTTTTCGGAACAATGTGTCCCACCAGACCTCAATCTGTCAGAACGAAGAACAAAGTTTTCAACAAGCAAACACAATTAATTCAACACTTACTAGCCATTTTGTACCTGCCTCTTGGTGCTAGGAAATGCACATGAATTAGAATCACCTGTCATTCTTACCTGCATTAGCCCAGAAAATAATGGGGGTGGGGGTGGGAGATGTTGTCCGTCGCCATGCTCACGGTTTCATTTTTGCTTTTGTTTAGAATATTGTAGAAGCAGAGAAAAGAGCGAAAAGAAATGTCGATGACACTTGGGGAAGTAACGAATTAATCAAGAAGTTTGCCTTACCAAAGAGACATCTGAGATGTCCTCAGCTGTATTGTACCATGCAAAGAAGAGAGAGAAGTGACTCCAGATAAAGGGATCAGTATGAACAAAGGCACTGTGCCAAGTTTTATTCTACCTCTGTGGCTGTTTTTATTTTACTTCCTCCTTGACCCATCCCTAAGAAATTGGGGCTGCTCAGGACTCTAGCCTGAGCCCACTTGTCATCTCACACTACAAACATGTCTTAAGCAATCCAATCCACACCCACAGATGGCTGGATTTCCATCTCTATGTTGATGACAACTAAGTATGTATCTCAACCCTGATCTCTTAGCATAACTCTGGACGGATAACAACAAACCCTTCACAACAACACTTCTTTGGCATCTCATGAAGACTTTCAAACTCAACACACCTAGAGCTGAGCTCTGCTCTCATGCTGTTCCCTCTCTAGGATTCCTGCTCAGGCTACTAGCATTATGAACCCCCAGGTGCTGACACCAAAATATGGAGTCATCCACCAACCCTGCTTTTTCCCTGCCCACAGCCCCATCATCTGCTAGGTTCTGTTCTACTGATCTCTTAAGGAGTTCCTGATTTATCCACTCCCTTTTTCTATTATTTCCTAAATTGCTGAAGAGTAACCAGTAGCATTTGGGGAGCAGGAGGAAAAACAGGAAGGTAAAGTATATGGAAATGGTACATGCTGAAAGTTAGATCCAGAGGTTAGAATTTGGTAGTAGGTTAGACTTGAGCTCACCTGTTGTTGGCATTTGCTAAGTCTGAAAGTTATAAACTAAGCAAGCATAGTACCTGATACCAGTGTTACCGGTGCTCCTGGCAAATCCATTTGCCTTAAGTTAAAGAGACGTTCTGTGTGGTCACAGATCAGGAGTAATGATGGAGGCTGCTACTGTGTCGGAGGTGAGGTCCTCTATCCCTGGTTTCCAACACTGATTAGTATCACTTAGGAACCTCAAGGCAAACATGTAATGATCCCATCTCAAGTACTCAATAAAAAATACATTAAATTAGTGAATGAATAAGCCATATTTTCTCACTTGAGAACTGCTGGCTTATAGTTATTGTCCAGTTATCTTTGTGTGTGTGGAGTGAATTGGTAAAAGGTTGTTTTATAATAATAATAATAAAAAGTGACCTTTAGGTAGCACTCTTGGTATAAAAGTTTTCTCCTGGTTGTGTGTGTGTGTGTGTATGTGTGTGCATGTTAGCAAATTTGGCTATGTGATTTCTGGTTATCTTTCCTCTCCCACCCATAGCAGTCCATCCCGCTTTGCACATGTCCTGAGCCCCTGGAAATCCCGAAATGGACCAGTGCAAGGGAGTTCCCATCCAGAAAGGCACTCTAAATCATAACAAGCCAGGACTCAAAACTAAACCCAAGCAGAACTTTTCACTGTACTATAAAACATTTTTAAAAATGTTTTTCAAGCACAACATACACTCATTTAACTAAATGTCTGGAGTAAGATTTTGGTATAACTCATTTTGCTTGACTATATCTATTTTCAGAATGGCCACTGTGCCAAGGACAAACTGATCAAGTGACTTCCCCTAAGTGTCTTGGCATTCCACCCAGATGACACACCGCCAGTTATCAAAAGCACAATCAAGTTCACTAGGACGGAGGCCTAAGCAGCAGGGCCAAGACCGCTTGGAAACTGGTACCTGGTGTGCTGAACCTGTCCGGATACTGGTCTTGACTTTCTTAATTAATTCATCTGAAACAGTTATTTTAAAAATTATTATTAAAGTTAATCATGGTGAAGAATATTATCAGTAAGAAAGGTGAAATTAAAACTATTAAAACTAACCTCCTTCTCCACATTCTCAACTCATTCCATTCCCATAAATACATGTAATATCTACTTTTTAATCCAAATAACATTGCACTATACATACTGCTTTGTACCATGCTTGTTTTACCTAATATATGCTTTATGTAGTTATCATATATAACAATGATCTGTATATATAGCTAATTTTATATTAATAAACACTCCAACAGATTGATAAACCTCTAACAAATATAAGGGGCATTAACACAAACTCAGGGGAATATGTCAGAAAAGTAATGAGTAACTATAGATAGAAAGAGATATTAAGGAATCATAATTTGGAAGGTAGACAATTACTAATGGTTAAGACACTGGGTAAAATGTTCCTGTCTCACATGGTAGTACCTGGATTCCAGCTTCCTCTAAGAGAAGCCCTGGGAGGCAGGGGGGGGGGGGCTCAAGTAATTGGGTCCCTGCCACCCATCCAGGAGACCTGGATTGAATTCCTAGCTCTCAGACTTGGCCATGGCCCAGCTGAGCCTTGGCCACTGCAATCATTTGGGGAGTGAATCAGTGGATGAGAGCTCTCACTTTATCTCTGTATTTCTCTCACACACACACTTTCTCACTCTCCCTCTCTCTCTCTCTCACACACACACACACTTTCTCTCTCTCTCTCTCCCTCCCTCTCAAATAGATAAAAGTTAAAAAGAAAGAATTAAAATTTGAGGTTCCCTACCTTAATAATAATAAAAAGTTGAATGCTAAAATAGGAAACTTTCAAATCCTATCTAAGCTGTCGTGTGCCCATGTGTGCAGAGGTGATTTTAAACTCAGGGTACACGAAGCCCAAGCAAGTCTTGTTGATCCACTTACCAGAGTTGTCTTACTTGCCTAACCAGATAGTATACCTCCCATAAACTCATTGTGCTATGTCTAGTAAGTGCTTAGCACTCAATAAATATTTGTGGAATGGAGGAATCCACTATGTAGAGTGGACCAGTAACTAACTTTGGGAGCTCACTTTCTGAAACACCCTCTTTTGTGGGAATATCATCCTCGCCTCCTTCCACAGCCTTCATCTGCAAGTTACATGTTCAAATGTGCTTTTCTTTAGCCCTACTGTCACAAGGATTCATGACAGGTTCTGATTTAATAGGAGCTTATTCTCTTAACAATTTTCATGCTTTCCTGCCCAAATTCACCGAAGTTAATCAAATCCATCCTGGTTGCATCAGACCTCCATGGGTTGTCAATTTTCTCCCTGATGGTGAGAATTAATATCTTTTGGGGGAAAACAGTATAAGGACAGTACAGTCTTTTGATCAGATAATTAAGTGAGCCCCTTCCTTGTGCCGTTAAGCCAGAAAGACTTATTTTTGCATAAAATGCCAGTGTTTATGAAGTTTTGAAGGTCACTCCTAATTATCTAACAGTGACAGAGTGGCTAATGCTTCTCCTCCTTTTAATATACTACATTTACTCCTCTGAGGCTTTATTCCCTGGGAAGGAGAGTGGGTACCAGTCCCATGGTATCTAGCTAAAGGACCTTCAGTTTTTTACAGTGTGAGAATAGCCAAGATTGAAAGTACAAATTAGATTTCATTAGGAGAAAGGGTTTCATGAGATGAGACTGGGGGAAAAATGTCATTACCACTAGGCAGAGATCAGCAGTAAAAGAAATGAAAAACGCATACAGCGCCCTATTCCAAGGGGAAAGAGTAGCTCCCTCTGAGATCTATCATGTGATTTAATTAATTGAGAGAACTGGAAATCAAGACATCTCGGTTCTCTCCCCATCATCTGAATGCTTTTGATTGCTCTTTCTGACTTCGGCTTTTTAAGACAATTGCCTGTGACTTGATCAAAATATCCTACGTATGCAGTGGTTTAAGAGCACAGCTCTGTAACCACCATTATGAAACAAGCAATCTAAGTAAGTCATTACATCCTAAGTACTTCTTAATTCACAAATCAAGGAACTAAATGTAGGCAGGAGATTTCAAGTCCATAATATCAGCTCAAATGAGGCTTCTGGAGTTTTGATGTAAAGGATCAGCAGTATTCTGCTATTTCACAGCTACTGGGACCTGGAGCCCATGGTGGGCAAGAAAGGGCTCGTTAGCACTGCCCAGGTCTTGCTCCTGGTGGAGCTAATTCTGCTAGTTTTATTCCGTTTGGAGGAGGAGTTATCACCCAATCCCTTCTCCACTGGCCTTGTTCAGTGATTGAGGCGCTGGACAGGTCGATTCTTCAGGGTCAGGCCATCAGCTACCTCCAACTACGAGCTTCACCTCTGACATCCCCAGGTCACTTCAATGTGCAGCGCCTGCCTCAGTGGCTCCCAGCTCTGGCAACACTCGGGGATCATTTGAGGCAATCAGAAAACTGGTGTTGCCCAGGTCCCACCCAGACCCTTTAAATCAGAATGTCTTCCACATCGAATTTGAACATGGAAGTCTCATCTCCGATGGAGATCGGGTGCTAAGGAAAGGAAGTAGACATACCAAAGATCTTGTCTCTACCCTCAAGCTTGAGATAGGAAGGAACAGCTATTTCTATTGTCCTAATCAAAATTCACAACCAGGGGCCGGTGCTGTGGTGCAGTAGGTTAATCCTCCGCCTGCTGCACCGGCATCCCATATCGGCTCTGATTCGAGTCCTGGCTGCTGCTCTTCCAGTCCAGCTCTCTGCTGTGGCCTGGGAAGGCAGTACAAGATGGCCCAAGTGCTTGGGTCCCTGCACCTGTGTGGGAGACTGGGCAGAAACACCTGGCTCCTGGCTTTGGATTGGGGCAGCTCCGGCCATTGCAGCCATTTGGGGAATGAACCAACGAAAGGAAGACATTTCTCTTTGTCTCTCCCTCTCACTGTCTGTAGCTCTAACTCTCAAATAAATAAATAAAATCTTAAATAAAATTCAAAACCAGGGAAGGGTAAGACACTCCTTGGGACACTCGCATCCCATATCGGGATGGTTGAGTTTGAGTCCCAGCTCTGCTCCTGATTCCAGCTTGCTGATCATGGGAACCCTGGGAGGCAGCAGGTGATGGCTCTCAAGGTTGGGTCCCTGCCACCCATGTGGGGGACCTGGATTGAGCTCCTGGCTCCTGGCGTTGGTCTGGTCCAACCCCAAGCTGTTGTGGATATTTGAGGAGTGGACCAGGGTATGGGAGGGAAATCTCCCTCTCTCTCCCTCTCTCTCCCCAGTTTTTCAAATAAGTCAAATAAATAAACAGCAACATTTTTAAAACTTCAAAACCATATGACAGGATGGAGGCCTAAGCCATGTTTTAGAGAAACTATAACCTGGCCTTAATTTCAGACTATTTCTTTTAGGCAGAAGTCTATGTGCTTGACCCCCTTCATAACTCATTTCACTGGCACAGTGACCCCTTGGAACAAGGGATGATAGTGCATTTTTTTAACTTTTATTTAATAAATATAAATTTCCAAAGTACAGCTTATGGATTACAATGGCTTTTGCTCCAGAGCTTCAGAAATCAGGATAAAGATCATCCACTTGGGAAGTGACCAGTTCAGGATTCAAACTCAAGTCTTTCAGATTCCTAGCTTGGCTTTTCTATGAGATGGCACAATTACCCTCACCCTGTGGCTTCTGGGATACAGGTTATCAGTGAGCACTAGAGCACCGCCTGTAAACAGCAGGTAAATTCACTTGGTTTTGTGATTTTATGATCATTGTCTCTACTCTTGGACGTGGAGCTGAGATTTTAGACATTTTGATTTTTTAGCCCAAAAGAAAATCTCTCAAGACAATTCAATAAGCAATAAAAGAAGCAGTGTAAGAAAACTATTTTCTCTGAGAAGAGAAATTTAAGAAACCTACATCCAATTCAGATTTAAGTTTTCAAAATTCAGC